TGTGTCGTCGAGTCGGCCCCGACTCATAGCGACCCCTCCTTGGGTTTCCGAGGCAGTATCACTACGGAAGTAGGATTGCCCAACCTTCCTTCCGGGGGTCCCTGGAATCCGAATGAGAATGCTATAACTTTAAAATCCAAAAGTTTCAATAGAATATTCTAAAACTTTGTTGACGAGAGTTAGAACATTACCTCCAGACTTGGATAGAACTTGCTAAGATTATTATATTTTAATCAATAAAAATATGTTAAAAGGATATCTTTAAACTGTTCAGTAGTTTAACATGTTTGTATTTCGTGCAATTTTATTAACTTTTTTCCTTTTTAGTGAAATTGTTATAAATAATTTTTAATCAAAACAAGTTAGATAATGGTTTTCATTTATATGGGTTCTTTTGTGGCTTTGTTTTCTTGCTTTGTTATGAAAACACCTGAATTCATTTTATTTTAACAATGAGCACAAGAATCAAAGGGATAAAGTCTCTATTTTTGTCTCACCCCTTATGTGATTTAAGTTATATAACACTGTTAGGATACCAAGGACACTGGTATAGTTTTCAGTGACTCTGAACAGTGCTCTGTTTCACTGAATAAAGGGGGAAAAAAATGTTTTCACCATTTCCATTTTTTAATTTTTTTTCCACAATGTCAAACTGTTACTTATGCCTCTCTGGATCTGGATTATGTGGCTAAATGCAACCTAAATCTAATAAGATTTTGATGATGAAAGACTGTAAGTGAAGATCTGCTCTGCTCAGTGAGCATAAGAAAAACTTCCTGAATGAGGTCATTATTTAAAGCTGTGTAAAACAACGCCATCTACATTTCAGTGTATTATGTCTTAAGGTAAAGGACATCACAGCCCTGGAGGAAAACATTCAGTTATTACGTTATCTGAGTTCATTAACTTTTGCTGTTCCTGTAATCTTTCATTTTCAGGCTTTCTCCCTCCACCCCACCCCGGCCCAGAATGTAGAGTTCCAACAATGAAAAAGAAATAAGAATGTACAACATAAAAATGCTTTTTCTTCCACAAATACTCAACATTATTACCTTGTTCTTTTTCAATTTCTTAAAGTATATTTAGCAAAACAAAAAGCTAAAATTTATGGAATATTTACCATATGCCTTCCAGAATGCTAACTGATTTACATGTTCTCTAGTCTTTAAAACAACTCGGCAGGGTGTGTAATATTATTCCTGAGCCTAACAGTACTATTCTCAGAAAGACTAACATCCCCATAGCCATATAGCTGGTAAGAAGAGTCAGGAATCAAAGCTGTAAACCTAACACATGAAATCATCTTATCTGCTCATCACACTACTGCTTGTTTATGAACTAAGCAGCTCTTTCTACAACACTTGTCACCTTCCTTTTCTTATCACTTTTGTCTTTCTTTTTTTCCCCATTCCTCTAACTTTCAGATACCCTGGTTCCTCCTGCTGACTTTGAGTAGAACCTACAGTCTAATGCCACACTTAGGGATGTTTTCTCAAATACTCTGTCCCCCTCCTGATTTAGCTGTTTCATGATAATAAACTGATCAAACATGACTGAACTAAATTACAAAAGGGTGTCAATAATTAACATCAGATTTCATTGTTTTTTTTAAAACAAGTGTTATAAATAAGGTTATTCCCATTTTACAGGTAAGGAAACTGAAGTTCTGGAAAAGTTAGTGAGTCCAGGTCTTCCAATTTTAAATCCTGTCCTCTTCCCTTTAGAGCAGTCTGACTCCTCAACCTAAAATGGTCTACTAATGAAATTAGTGCCTTTCTAGCATTAGTTACATTACACTAGTCTACTTTCACACAAGAAGCCCTGAAAGGCTGGTACCACTACTGTTCTTCAACATGCACAATAACCTTGTTGAAGATGTATTCAAAAAATAGTGTGTGACGCCTGGCTGCCTGGCTGCACTGTTTCTGACCCTAGCAGTCAGATCAAACCACTATCAAATCTTCAAAGTACTTACTTGTGCTCCAGGCAACTACTTAGGTACTCCAATTCCTGAGAAGACTAGGGACTTCTTAGCAAGCTACCTTGAGAAGAACTAGTGATATCTTCCACACCAATTACATGGAGGTTATATGCTGGAGATTGATTAGGGAAATCCAATCTAAATTAGTAATTATATAGATGATTATTAAGGGATTTACTAAAGGATTCCACCTATTTTAGATAATTTAAAATATAGATGCTTGCGTCGTAGAGTTTTAAGAGAAATGAGTAATCTAAATAGCAAATAAACAACTGTTAAAAAACAGCTTAATGGAGGAAAAGTGAGCAATAAGAAGATGTAGTCTCTGTTACTCCGTACCAGTTATTAGAAAAGAAGAAGAAGAATTAGTCTAGAGAGAATGGAAATAAAGATTTCAGATATGTTATGAAGGATCAAATAGCTATCTTCATGACAGCTTGGAAAGAATCCTTTGCGGAATCAAACGAATGTCAAATTTTAGTCTGTGAAAAGTATATGAGATGAAACTTACTGTTAGGAAACAGAAAAAGACTGACCCTTTGTGGAGAAGTATTTCCTATTTCTTAGTTTGCTGTGAAGTACTATCAGGATCCTGCCCAAGAACTGATACATTCTAACAAGGTACCTTTAAGTGGCCATTTGCAGCTATTTTTTGATATAGAAAATGATAGTATTATTTAAATCATATGCATTTTGTGATTTTTATAAGCCATAAAAAAGAAAACCAAACTTACTGCCATCACGTAAAATGGCCATGAGTTAATGGTCAAATGAAAAAGGAAAGCAGGAAGAAGCAAAGGGAGGATAGGAGGAATGGGATGAGGAAGAAAAGAAAGGAAAATAAAAACCTGTGAAGTTATTTTAAAGAGAAGAAATATTTTCTTAGGCCATTAAAACTTTATAAAAACTGTCAAACCAAACTCGCTGCCATCGAGTCAGATCCGACTCATAGCGAACCCTCCTTGGGTTTCTGAGGTGATACCACTATGGAAGTAGATTGCCCAGTCTTCCTTCCAAGGAGTGGCTGGTGGTTTTGAACCACCAGCTTTCTGGTTAGCAGTCAAGTGCCTTAGGCACTATGCTACCAGAGCTCCCTATAAGGACTATAGTCAGGCTATTTTTGAAACACTTGTGAAAACAGCTGATCAATTTGAGTAGGGAAGGAAAATCTTGTAGAATTAATTTCTTATCTACTCAAAAAGCTATGTAAGAATTTTCTTTGAAAAAATTACAGCTATTTCTGGAATATAGTATATTCCAGGAGCTCCGCTGGCATAGTAGGTAATACATTTGGCTGCTAACCAGGTCAGCAATTCAAACCCACCAGTCTCTCCGTGGGAGGAAGATGAGGCAGTCTACTTCTATAAAGATTTATACCCTTGGAAACCATACGAGGGTCGCTATGAGTTGGAATCAACTTGATGGCAGTGGATTTGGTTTTTGGCTTAATGTGTATTACAAGGCAACATTACTAAATTTTTCCTTCTAAATGGAGTATCTTCTAATTTAATAGCAAAGTATTATGGTTAAGGAAGCTGCTTTGTTGTCAGCCCCACAATTTTCAGTATATCTGAAGAATTTTCTTCTTTTGGACATCATTACAAAGATCCTTTAAAAGATGGATTTTTAGGGTGATTAGTGTATTAGTTCTTTAATGCTGCTACAACAGAAATACCACAAGTAGGTGGTTTTAACAAACAGAAATGTGTTGCTTTATAGTTTAGGAGGCTACAAGTCCATATTGAGAGTGCCAGCTCTAGGGGCTAGGTGAAGACCCCTCAATCTTGAGCTTCAGCTCTGCCTCTTAATTCCAGGCCCACTGGAGATAGAGGCATCTCTTAACTCAGGCAGCTGCTGTCTGCTGAGGTTGATGAACCCAAGGTCAGCAGGTAAAATGGTACAATCCCAAGATCAGCAGACAGCACAGTAGGCCACTAGTTTAAGCACAGGAACAACCCTAAGATTGTCAAGCAACACAGGAAGCCACTGGTTATGAAAACGCAGCCAAATGCAGGATTCAAATGTGCCAAAAGCTAGAGACCTTTCCCAAAGCTTCTCTTTATATTCTGGGAGCAGGCCAAACCCCAAAGACAGCTCCCTAGCTGCTTACAGCAGATTCTACCATGCAGATAATTATGGTCTCCTCATGGAGAATAACTACATCCAGCTGCCCACCCAAGTGGACACACAGCTTTAACTACCAGAATAAGGAAAATCCAAAGAAAAGTACTTAAATAAAAATAGAATATGTAGATGATTACTAAAGAATTTTCAATTATTTTAAGTAATTTACACCTACCTTACATGCATAATTTGAGGAAAAAACTTTTTAAAATGTAATCATTTTTAATTATCTTTGTAATTTTTTTTCTAAGAATAAAGATCAGTTTCCTGTTTTCAAAATTTGAGTTTAACTATTATTGCAAGCATTTATATAGTCATGTACAGGAGCCTGGTGGCACAGTCACTAAAAGTTTGGCTGCTAACTTAAAGATGAATAGTTCAAACCCATCGTCTGTTTGAAGAAGAAAGACATGGCAGTCTGCTTCCCTAAACATTACAGCCTTGGAACCCTAGAGGATAGTTCTACTTCATCCCGTAGGGTCAGTATGAGTTGGAATTGACTCAACAGCAATGAGTTTGGTTTTGTGTTTTGATTTTGATTAGATAGCCTCAAGTATTTGTGTTTATGCTATTTATATGTTGGTAATTAAATCCTTTTGTAGATATTAACCCCAATATTGTATTGTAGCTAACTTTTAGTTTGTGATTTTTCAAGCGTGCTGATGACATCACATGTTTAGTAGCAGATACCACACTTCTTGTACACTTCTTTGGAAGAAAAGGAAAAGCTGAGCTAAATTTTGAAGATTTTTACAGGTGAGCCTTAATTTTTATATTTCCATTGAAAAATGTTAGCAGGCTAAAGTTAGAAGGGACCTCAGAAATTAATCTAGTGCAAATACATCCTGTTGCTGTTTTCATCCTAACTGCAGATACCGCCCACTCTATCACTAACAAATGTGTCAATTCTATCAGTACCTATATGACAGTGGTTATATTGGTAATTACAACATGACATTACTGAATAGTGAAAATGTCTGCATCTCTAGATTGACTGTTATCTCCTAGATATTCAAGATATTCAGAAGTAAGGATGCTGCCTACGTCTTAGTCTTAATAATCCACAGTAACAATAGCAAGCATATATATATATATATATAGTGTTTACTATGTGATACACACAATACATTAACTTTGAGCCTGTTCACTACACTTTGAGGTACCTTCGTTATCCTGATTTTACAGATGAGGAAATCAAAATCCTGAGAAGCTAAAGTAACTTGCCCCAGATGCCACAGTGATTAGGTGGTAAAGCCTCACATAACAAAGAAAAATTTCATGAAGCTTTGTGTCATCATATAATTAAATTATTTCCATATAACATTTATATCATTTTATCTTGTTCATTCTTTATCATATGTTTGTCACAGATTCATGGACAACCTACAAACAGAAGTTCTAGAAATAGAATTCCTTTCCTACTCTAATGGCATGAATACCATCAGTGAAGAAGATTTTGCTCATATTCTTTTGAGATATACAAATGTGGAAAATACATCAGTATTTTTGGAAAATGTGCGTTACAGTATACCTGAGGAAAAGGTATCAAACCCTTTATATTTATTTTGCTAGACATATAATTATCTTGTAATTCTATATTATAAGAAAATAGAGAATTATAAAATATATTGGCCTTCTGTTAATTATTTTGTATCTCTTGATTAGTAGAATACTTTGGATATAGTTCATTAGCTTTTCTCTGTGCTAAATTTTTTAAAATCAATTAATTTAAAATTCTGGCTAGAGATCCATATTTTTCAGGGGTATCCTGAAACCCTTAAGGTTATTAAAAAATATATTTTATTAAAATTAAAGATATCATTTTTCAAAAGGATTCTACTGAGCTATATCCTTTGACTACTACGTAAACATCGCCTCTTATAAAAGTTTATATTGACATCATTTCAGTCACACCTTATTCATTTCTATAATACCCTTAATGAAGGGTCATTTGAAGATAGCCATTGATGAGTGAGTGATCTTATCAGCAGTTGAAGTGAAATTTTTCAAAGAGTTTTAATGGCATGAATGTTTAAGAACCTGGAACAACTGATTGTCTATTTGTGTAGTAACAGATCTGTTGTCAGCAATTCTGAGCAGTTGCATTATCTAGTGGTATTTGAATGCATCACTGCAACCAAATAGAACTGATGTTACAAGTTACCCTTCAAGCATGAGATGTTTTGAATATATTGCCTTCTATTTGTGTTTATAGAAGGATCAGGTTTATCCATCCTAGTATAACTTGCAAATAGTTTGACTTTGTTTAGAATAAATACACTGTGTTAGTGCTAACAATTCTTCAGGACTCTAAGAATGAGAAAAAGGGATTTGATGCATTTGGCCTTTTGATGCCTTTGGCCATTGATGCAGTTTACATATGTGCTGATCACAGACTTTTATCTGTTTTGCATAGATAAACGTCCCTAAAACATAATACTGGAAATTGCCCTACTTTGTCAAGCTATTAAGATATTATTCAGGACCTCGAAGAATGTGCTTTTTTTTTCTTTTATTAAATAGAAACATCAGAATCAGTATCTCAGAAAGTTAAATTCTAGGGTTGAGGCATTACAGGAAAGCTTTGTACTGCTTCTGCCGCTAGTTTTTATATCTAAAATTATTTCAAAGTAAAAATCTTAAAAAAAAAGTTAATTTCATAATAATAACTTAAAAAGTTATTATTCTGAAAACTTCGTTAATAGATATGTATCTTAAGCACTACAAATTGTTAAGTAGAAAAGGAAAATTTGGTAACTGAGCCAGCATTGATTGAATGTTTACTCTGTACCATGTTTTTTTTTTCCCCCTTGTATTACCTCATCAAATCCCCAAAACCAGCCTCCCAGGAATTGACATCTCTCTTTAGAAAAGAATGAAGCTGAGGCTGTCACGAACACTTGGCAATGATTCAAACCCAGGACACTCTAAACCAATAATATTCCTTACTATACCTTACATACTGTTTGCCCTTTTACCACTCACCCTATTCCCTCCAAAATAATTCATTGAGTCTCCAGGTTGCAACAAGGTTGCAGTTCCAACAAGTCTGTTGTAAGTCAGTTCTGAGGTAAATCAAATACATCTTTTTTTTTTTTCCAGTTTCTGCTCTTACTGCCTTTTATTATCAGTATCTTTATAAATCTAATCTTTATTTGCCTTGGGGGTTGGAGACATTACATATAAACATCTATGAGTAAACATCTGAGAATGATAACATCAGCAAATCACATACTGCAACATTGTAGGTAGTACAGAAAATACAGTCATAAATACAGTTCCTTGTAACTTAAATATTGGTATGTCAGAGACAACCTGTAGCAACTACTACTATTTGAATAGCACTTAATATTTCTAAAGCACTTTGATATTCATTCATTTATCCAACAGATATTTATTCACAAACTGCTATTTACTAAGGCTTTATCGTATCCTCTGGGGATGAAGAGACAAGATAAGAAAACCTCTCTCTGTCAGAGAAATACTTCTTTAGTTGAGTGACAAAATAAACAAATAAGCAAAAACAAATAGTACATTACATACTCACAGAAAGTTATAAATCCTATAAAAAGGGACCGTAAGTCTTGAGAATCAGAGAAGGTGGATGACAAAGGAAGACTTTTCTGAAGAGATGGCTTTTGAGAAAAGAGCTGTTCAAAGATCTGAATGAAGAGTATTCCAGGAAGAGCAAATAGTAAGTGGCAAGCACTTGAGAAGGAAAAAGCTTAGAATATTTGAAAAAGTAACATAAATGAACTAAAGAGTAGGAGATAAGGAAGAAGAGAGATATGGGTCAGATCTTACAGGACTTTGTAGGCCAAGGTAGGGAGTTTAAATTTTATTCCAATGGTGATTTTAAGAGTTAAGCCAGTAAAGGGTTTAAACTTTAAAGCAAGGGTCTGTAAACTACCCCATCTCCTTTTATGTAAATAAAGTGTTACTGGAATGCAGCCACACTCATTGATTTTGTCTGTGGCTACTTTTATGGCATAATGACAGAGTTGAGTAGTTGTAACAGACACCATTGTTGTTGTTAGGTGCTGTTGAGTCTGTTCTAATCATAGCAACTCTGTACAGCAGAACAAAACGTTGCCTGAGCCTGCATCATCCCCACAATCATTGCAATGCTTGAGCCAATTGTTGGAGCCGCTGTGTCAGTCTATTTCATTGAGGGTCTCCCCTGTTTTCACTGACTCTACTTTACCCGGCATGATATCCTTCTCCAGGGAATGGTCCCTCCTGACAGCATAACCAAAGTGTGAGAAATGAAGTCTGGCCATTCTTGTTTCTAAGGAATATTCCACCTGTACTTCTTCTAAGACAGATTTCTTTGTTCTTCTGGCAGCCCGTGGCATTTTCAATTATACTTCGCCAGCACCACAATTCAAATATATCATTTCTTCTTTGTTCATTGCCCAGCTCTCAAATGCATATGAGGCTTTTGAAAATCCCATGGCTTGGGTCAGGCACACCTTAGTCTCCAAGGTAACATCATAGCTCTTTGATACTTTAAACGTCTTTTATAGTAGATTTGCCCAATGCAATATGTTGTTTGATTTCTTTACTGCTTTTCTATGGGCATTGATTATGGATCCAAGACTGACAACTTCAATCGTTTGTCCATTTATCATGGTGTTGCTGATTGATCTGGTTGTGAGGGTTTTTGTTTTCTTTATATTGAGATATAATCCATACTAAAGGCTGTAGTCTTTGATCTTCATCAGTAAATATTTTAAGTCATCTGCACTTTCAACAAGCAAAGTTGTTAATAAGTCTTCCTCCAATACTAATGCTACATTCTTCTTAATATAGTCCATCTTCTTGGATTATTTGCTTAGTATACAGATTAAATAAGTATGGTAAAAGGATGCAGACCTGACGCACACCCTTCCTGATTTTAAACCATGCAGTATCCCCTTGTTCTGTTTGAATGACAGCCTCTTGGCCTATGAAAAGGTTCCTCATGAACATAATTAAGAGTTATAGAGTTCCCATTATTTGCACTGTTATCCATAATTTGTTATGATCCACACAGTCGAATGTCTTTGCATAGTCAATAAAACACAGGTAAATATCTTTCTGATATTCTTTGCTTTCAGCCAGGATCCATAACAGAGACAATATGGCCTACAAAAGTGAAAATGTATGTTCTCTTGCCCTTTACCAAAAAATTGTCATAAATAGACTGTCAAGCATAACCCAAAATGCACATAGCAGAAGAGAAACTAGATGAATGAGACCTCGTAAAAATTAAATTTTTATGTTTCAAAAGACTCCAAAAGAGTCAAAAGAAAACGTACAGATTGGGAAGAAGTATTTGGCAACAACATATCTGACAAGGGATTTATCTCCAAAATTTACAGAAAACTCCAACATCTCAATAACAGAAAGACAAAACAATCCAATTAAAAAATGGGCAGAGGACATGAATACATACTTCACCAAAGAGGATACTCAGGCATATCCAACAAACTCATGACGAAATATTCACGATCATTAGCCATTGTTGTTGTTGTTGTTATGTGTTGCCGAGTTGGACCCGACTCATAGCAAACCCCTCGAGAGATGCAAATCAAAACAACAATGAGATAAGATACCATCTTGCCCCACCACTAGTAGCAAAGTTCAATAAGACAGAAAATAACAAATGCTGCTGGCGAGGATGTGGAAAGATTGGAACTCTCATATACTGCTGGTGGAACTGTAAAATAACACAAGCACTATGGAAAGCAGTATGGCGATTCTTTAAAAAATTGGAATTAGAAATACCATTTAATCCAGCTTCAGTGTTTTCTCCATCCACCATGAAGCTGTTTATTAGACCAGTTGTGAGGATTTTTGTTTTCTTTTTATTGAGGTATCATCTATACGGTAGACTAGTCTTTAATCTTCATCAGTAAGTGCTTCAAGTCATCCTTACTTTCAGCCAGCAAAGTTGTGTTTTCTGCATATCACAGTTGTTAATGAGAAAATGGAGAAAAGATTGAAGTTGTCAAGGATTTCATATTACTTGGTTCTAAAATCAACACGAATGGAAGGAGCAGTCAAGACATCAGACGACGTATTGCATGGAGCAAATCTGCTGCAAAAGGCCTGCTTCAAGTACTGAAAAGCAAAGATGTCTCCTTGAAGACTAAGTTGCACCTCACCAACAGTATTTTCATTCACCTTTTATGCGTGTGAGAGCTGAACAATGAATAAAGAAGACCAAAGAAGAGTTGATGCTTTTGAGTTGTGGTGTTGAAGAAGAATGCTAAGAGTACCATGGTCTGCTAAAAGGACTAACAAATCTGTCCTGGAAAAAGTGCAATCGGAATACTCCTTGGAAGCGAGAATGGCCAGACTTCGTCTCACCTACTTAGGTTAGGTTGTCAGAAGGAACCATTCCCTGGAGAAGGATATCATGCTTGGTAAACTGGAGGGTCAACTAAGAAGGGGAAGGCCTTCAATAAAATAGCTAGACACAGTGGCTGCAACGATGGGCTCAGATGTAGCAAGGATCATGAGGCTGGCACAGGACCAGGCAGTGTTTTGTTCTGCTGTGCATAGGGTCACTATGAGTCAGAGACAACTCGACGGCACCTAACAACAATAACAACATTTGATCCAGCAATCCCATTACTACGTATATATCCTATATAAGTGAAAGCCAGGACAAGAACACTATTTGCAGTAGCAAAAAGGTGAAAACAACCTAGGTGCCCATCAACAGAAGAATGGATAACCAAACTATGGTACATACACACAATGGAATACTGTGCAGCACTAAAGAATAATATAGAATCTGCAAAACACCGCATAACATAGATAAACTTGGAGGACATTATGCTGAATGAAGTAAGTCAATCACAGAGGGACAAATATTATCTATTAATTGTTCATTATTGTAAAAAGTCAAGGAAAGGTTTCTATATGGAAGGAAACTTTCTTTGTTGGTTACCAGGATGGGAGGGGAGGGGAGGGAAAACTGCAAAAATAAAAATAAATTTAAAAAGAAATTGCCAACTCTTGTTTTAGCATATAGGAGTGATACGGAGCGTAGAAGTGATTTATTCTGTACTTACTGAGTATCTTCTTTGACACTCTGATATGATCTAATTTATTGTTTCAAAAAAGATCACTTTGACTGCTATATAGAGAATAGGTTTTAATTGGCCCAGCTTTGAAACAAGGAGCCAAGTTAAGGTTCAATTACAGGAGTCCAGGCAAGAGATGAGCATGGCTTATACCAGAGTGAAAGCAGAAAAAAAATGGTTATATACTGGATCACCTAAAAAGTAGATCCAATAAAATTTGTTAATGGGCTATATTGTGAAGGTAAAAGAGGAATCAAGAACTCCTAGGATTTTGACCTGAGCCACAAGGTGAAGTCATGGTATCATTTACTGACCTAAGTAAGAATATGGCTTCAGAGTTATGAAAGAATCAAGAGTTTTATTTTGGACAGGTTAATTTTGAGATTCATAGTAAATATCAAAGTAAAGGTATTAACCAGGCAGTTGGATAGTGAATATCACTCAGGTGCAGTTAGGACTACTTTTGGTAGGTAGTCGTATATTGGTTTTCAGGTTGTGTCTTCAGCTCAAACTTCTCTTCTCAATTCCAGACTTATTCATCCTACTCCCTACTCAGTCAGCATCTCTACTTGGCTAGCCAATCAACATCTCAGCTTAATGTTTTCAAAATGAAACGCCTGATCATCTTACACACACACACGTACCCAACAAAAACACTCCACACACCATCTTGCCTGTTTTAATTAATAGAAACTCTTTTCTTCTAGCTACTCTGGCCAGAATTTTGGATGCCTTATAGTCAGACTCTACACTGTTGTTGTTAGATGCCATCAGGTCATGTCTGAATCATAGTGACCCCATGCACAGCAGAACGAAACACCACCCGTTCCCACGCCAGCTCCATGATCCTAACTATACTTGAGCCCATCGTCACAGCCACTGTGTCAGTCCATCTTGTTGAGGGCCTTCCCCTCTTTCATCGACCCTCCAACTTACCAAGCATGACATCCTTCTCCAGGGAATGGTCCCTTCTGACAACATGACCAAAGTAGGTGAGACAAAGTCTAGCCATTCTTGCTTCCATAGAGCATTCCGGCTGCACTTCCTCCAGGACTGATTTGTTAGTTCTTTGATCATTCTTTGCCAACACCACAACTCAGAAGCATCAACTCTTCTGTGGTCTTCCTTATTTATTGTCCAGGTCTCACATGCATACGAGGTGATTGAAAATATCATGGCTTGTTTCAGGTGCACCTTTGTCCTTAAGGAGACATCCTTGCTACTCAGCACTTGAAAGAGGTCCCTTGCAGCCAACTTGCCTAGTGCTATATGTCGTCTAATGTCCTGACTGCTGCTTCCATTGGCATTGATTGTAGAACCAAGCAATGTGAAGTCTTTGACAACTTCAATCTTTTCTCCATTTATTGTGATGCTGCTTATAGGTCCAGTTGGTGAGGGTTTTTGTTTTCTTTATATTGAGACGTAATCCATATTGCAGACTGTATTCTTCAGTCTTCATCAGTAAGTGCCTCAAGTCATCCTCACTTTCAGCAAGCAAAGTTGTGTCATCAGCATATCACAGGTTGTTAATAATTCTTCCTCCAGTCTTGATGCCATGTTCTTCTTCATATCGTCATATAGACTCTACACTATGTATCAGCAAATCCTATTGAATCTACGTTTCAGAATGTGACCACTTCTTGCTACTTCCACTGCTACCATCTGAGTCACCCTTCTCACTTGTCAGGATTATTACAGTCATCTTTTAAATTCTCTTTCTGCTTTTAACTTTGCCTTCTTATAGTCTGTTCTCAATCTAGCAATTAAGGAAATGCTTTACACCATGATTTAGAACTTATTAGGATAAATTCCTGTTTTTCTCAAAAGCTGAAATCTTTACAGAGGCCTACAAGACCTACACAGTCTGCTTCCCCATCCTTCCTCTGACATCATTTCCTACCATCTCTCTACTTGCGCACTTTGCTTCAGCCACTCTGGCCTTTACTCTCAAATACCAGGTGTTTGTCTTTTACACATGTTCTCTTCCCTCCCATAATGTTCTTCCCCTAGATACCAACATGGCTTGTTATGTTATTTCTGGATGAGGCCTACCCTATCCAATTTTATATATAAATAATATATAATCTATTATATAAATAATAGCTTATAAATAGCATATTGAGCTTTTATATAAATTATAGCCTATTTTGTAAATTATAATTCCCTCCTGTAGCATTCCCTTCTACTTCTTACCTTAATCTTTGGTTTTTCCCTATAGCATTATCACCTAATACTCTGTATAATTTGCTTATTTTTATTTTTTGTTGTTTATCTGAATAATCTATATAATTGACTTACTTTTATTGTTTACTATCTGTCTCCCCCAAGTAGAATGTAAGCTCCAGGAGGGCTGGTATTTTTGTTGTTGTTGATTTGTGTATCCACAGCATCTAAACTATCTGTTGAATAAATAGATGATATTTAAAGATGAAAGACTAAAATCTTTTAGATTTTTATGAATTTTACCTACAGATAATCATTCTTATGTAAAACGACAGATGTACAAGGTTATTCATTACAGTGTTGTTTTTAATATCAAAAAATTAGAACTTCCTTAAATGTCTTTCAGTAAGCCACTGGTTAAATAAATTGATGTATCTGTGCTCTGGTAGCATAGTGCCTCCTCGGAAGGAAGGTTGGCAATCTACTTCCATAGTGATACTGCCTTGGAAACCCAAGGAAGGGCTGCTGTGAGTCAGGTCTGACTCAACGGCAAATAATGACAACATACAATAGAATACCATGCAACTGAAAAAAAAAAACCAAGAAAGTTCTTTATCTCCAAGACATATTAAGTGAAAAGAGCATGGTTGACGACAATGTGTAGAGCAAAATTACCATTGTATAAGAAGAGTTAAAAAAAAACAAAAAACCAGTGACATTTATTCCATTCCAACTCATAGTGACCCTATAGGATGGAGTATAACTGTAAATCTTTACAGAAGCACACAGCCTCATCTTTCTCCTGAGCAGCGGCTGATAAGTTTGAACCACCAACCTTATGCTTAGCAGCCAAGAAAATAGCCTATGCTAACTCTAGAAGGATCTACATTGGTTCCACTGTGCTTCTTTCTGCTGCCCTACCTTCATTATCATGGCAAGAATAGGGGAAAATATGCTACTGTATAATGACATTTTGCATTGTCATTATGCAGACAGTAATTGCTAATTGTAACAGCAATACTAAGTGGTAGTAAATCTGTTTGAATTTTACATTTCATTTGGAAAAATAAGGTTTTCTGTGCCCTGGACATGTTTATTTCATGACACATTCCAGATGTTTAATCTATGTACTTCTATGAAAAGTAGGTAGTTATATGAATAAATTTGACAAGACCAAATATATGTACATATGTTTCCTCAATATAGGGCATCACATTTGATGAATTCAGATCATTTTTCCAGTTTTTGAATAACTTAGAAGACTTTGCAATAGCCTTGAATATGTATAACTTTGCAAGTCGTTCTATTGGGCAAGGTAAGTAATCATCTTTTAAAAATTAACAACAAAAAATAATCCTACATTGTTTTGAGGAATATTGGTAACGAATTAATTAGATATGTCATATTAGCCATCAGCTTGCCTGAATGAAAGTCTAGTGTATATTTTCAGTAGGAAATTAGTTCTGACACTTTAAAAAAAACTAAGCAAAGTTTAGGGAAATATGCTAAATGTTTGTATTGTTTATTATTGCCCTTCATTTCATATTATTAGGAAATGCTAATAATATTTGTAAAAGTCAAAGAAGAAGAAACCTCGTGGTCATTTGATAACATTGAGGGATATATGTCTACCTAGAGAAGATCCAGCTAGCCATGCCTCAGATATCCTTACAGGATGGCATTTTTTTATCTTGCTGATTTTGCTTATAGCCCCTGCTGGCTCAGAAACCTTACTTGTCAGCACAGCCACTTCTCAGCAAAGGACTTAGATTAACTGAATGTTGAGAGTTATGTATAAAATTGAGTTACTGATTTGGTTAAGTTACAAAAAGAAATACAGCTGTCATAAAAATTTGAATGCTATTTTCCTCAGGACCAGCTCACTCTTTTTCTAGGTGAAATAACAAGTCAAATGATCTTCAGAAGATTGTTGATGAATATGAAATCAGAACAAAGAGAATTAAATGGTGTATCCGTCTCATGATAGCTTGGTCCTAGAAAACTTAATCACATGAGCAATAACCCACTTCTACCACCTCCATGTGAGGGATGGCCTTGTCTGTGGCTTTGGAATACCAGCTTTCTGTCAGCAAATACTCTTCAGTGTTTCTCAGACAACTCCCAGAATAATCTTTCTCCAATGTACCTGCTGTGGGAAACTTAAGTTTCCAAATTACCTACTGGAAAAATGTATAGGTTCCTCACATCAGGGTCCCCTCTAAGGAATTTTCCCAGCTCTTATATGTTTCCCTTGGGCAATCTACTTCTGTAGTGATACTGCCTCAGAAAGCCAAGGAGGGGTCACTTATAAGTTGGGGCTGACTCTATGGCACATAACAACAACATATGCTTCCCTGAGCTCTACCCAAATTGACTGTTCACTCTTCTCTGATTGTGCTCTCACATCTCCTTGATGCCCTCTTCATTCATGCCATTGTGTCTGTCATTTCTCTCATCTCTCTAAGCTGACATCCATCTGTCCTTCAGAGCTCAGCTCAAAACAAAGCCACAGCCTTGCCTAATCACTACCCTTCTCTCTCTTCTCCCTACTCCATGCTTCAGACAAATATAATCATTCATCTCCAAATTCTCCTAGCACTTAGTTGGTGCCTTTTGTTTTATGGTTATTGGGGCAAGTGTCTCGTCTCCCATTTGAACTGTAAGTTCTTTCAGAACATTTTCATCTAAATGACCTCCAAAGTCTGTCTGGCTGATGGTAGGTGCTCATCAAACAGTTAATTAATAAATAAGGCATTATTAAGCATTACTAAGATACTGCTTCTTGCTCTTTTAATTAAAACCACAGAGATTTGTTCCCTCAAGGCAGCATGATTAATGAAACTTTGTGTGGTATATAAAAGATCATGACTCAGGTTTAGAAACAAACTTTTACAATCTTTCCAGTAATTAGCATATATTATCAAGATGATATTAATGGTTTGCTTTTCTTCTTTTTATGTGACATTTATCTAGATGAATTCAAGCGTGCTGTCTATGTAGCCACCGGCCTCAAACTTTCACCACATTTAGTGAACACTGTCTTCAAGATTTTTGACGTTGACAAGGATGATCAATTAAGTTATAAAGAATTTATTGGAATTATGAAAGACAGACTACATAGAGGATTCCGGGTAAACCTATTTTAAACCTGTTGATAACCTTTTTTAAAAATCTGAAAGAAAAGAAAAATCCATCTAAGTTTCAGAAGCAGTTTTTAGAAATTTTTAAAGCCATAACATGAAATGTTTAATTTGAAAAGAAAAAATGTATCCCCTACCTGCTTTCAAAAAGGATTTGAGGTAATAAAAGATAATGGATTTTTTAAAAGGATAAATCATTTTATTTTCAATAATTTATTTTCATATTCGATTAGTTCTATATCTTATCCCTGTTTGTGGGGGAAGAAATGTTCCACATATTCTTGAAAAATTCAGTATATCACTGAGTCTCACTTAACAGATATCTAGGAGGCAGTGTGCAGCTAATATGTCACTGCGTATTCAATGCTTTTTATAGGGAAAATAAGTAAATGTTTTTTGTCAGGTGAACTTTTTTTTCTGTGACATCTTAGACTACAAACTAATTACTGTAAATTCAGTGATTTTTTTTCTAAGAAAGTTTTTTAAAGAATAAAATTACAGCATGAATCTGAATGTTTACACAGCTAACATTTGTAGATGTGCCACAAACAGAAAAATAAAAGGATTTTTTTAAGGTTAACACCTAGAATGTTGAATTTTCCCTCTTTGGCAAGATAGCCCTAAGTATTACACATTAAAAAAAAATTGTATATATGAAAAAAAAAGAAGAAGAAGATTCATCTTAGAAAATGTTTTTAAAGATTTTTTAATACAGTTTTAAAACCCAAGCTTTTTTTTTGATAAAGGTGTTTTGTACTTAACTGCCACCTAGTGGATTCTTGTTAACATTTCAGATGATGCCACAGAAAACCAAAATGAACATATATTGAAAATCATTTTGTTTTTTCTCAAGAAATTTAGAGTAGATCAAATTAAAATATAAAGTTTTATGCTGTTAAATCTCTATCATTTGGTTGCTTTCTTAGGTGTTATGTATTTTTATTTATTACATACTGATGGCTTTTATAACATTTTATTTATATTTATAGACTTTGATTCTCTATTCTACAGGGTTATAAAACAATTCAGAAGTATCCTACTTTCAAATCCTGTCTGAAGAAGGAGCTTCATAGCAGATAAGTATGTTAATTTCTCTCTTTTTCTAAATATGATGGCTCAGTAATAATAAAGGAAGAGTCAAAATTTTTCTATTATAATATTCAGAAAATAGCTGAAATATATAGAATTATAATTTATTTTTGATTTTTCAGAAGGCATGATTTCATTTTAATCCATTAATTCAAATTAAGAATTAGGCTTTATGATAAAACATTACATTACATTTTAAGATATGATCTAAAAATGGATTGGAATACAGAATACATACTCATCTTACTGGCATTCTCATTGAAATGTTTTGATTAAAAATTTTTCTGTTTAACCTGTTTTTTACTTGAACAGATATGATATAATGAATCCAAGTTGGATGGATGTGATCAAAGATAGTTTCAATCTAAGAAATATTTGTTACTACATTTTAGAATCATAATTTTGAACATTAGGTGCAATAATAGTACCTAATTTTTTGGAGTTATTATTAGGTTCCCCACCCGCCATTCCTTGGAAGGAAGATTGGGCAGTCTATTTCCGTAGAGATACCACCTCAGAAACCCACAGAGGGATCACTATGAGTCGAATCGACTCTAAGGCAGTGAGTTTGGGTTTTTTTTTTTTTTTTTTTTTTTTTTGGCCCTATACTAAGTGTTCTTCCCCATATAATAACTTACTTAATCTTCACAGGTATCCCATTTTAAAGCATGGAAATATCAGGGCTTAGAGAATAGGTAACTTGCCCAAAGTCACAAGGCTAGTGAGTGGCATACCAGGATTTAAACCTCATCCTGTCTGATGGAAAAGTCATGTTATTTATTATTTATACACTGTTACCGTAGATGGCAATAGTTGAGGAGGATATATGAGATTTTCAACACCATAAGTGGAAAATATGCAAGTGGACCTTACCAGATAAAACACACAGGAATCAAATTGTGATTATATCTGTGGAAAGAAATGATGGACAAACTCAATATCATCACTCAGAACAAGGCCAAGGACCCCTTGCATAACAGACCATCAATTGTTCTTAAGCAAGTTCTAGTTGAAGCTGAAGAAAATTAACATGAGCCCACAAGAGCCAAAGTACAACTTGAGTACTTCCTATCTGAATGTAGAGACTATCTCAAGAATAGAGCAAACACCAAACGAGTTTTAGGATGACATCAAGGATATCATACATGAAGAAAGCAAAAGGTTATGAAAAAGACTGGAAAGAAAGAAAGAAGAGTTAAAACTGGATGTCAGAAAAGACTGCACTTTGCTCTTGAATATAGAGAAACGAAAGTGATCAGAAGAAATGGTAAAGTAAAAGAGCTAAACAGAGTATTTCAAAGGGCAGCTCAAGAAGACAGAGTATTATAATGGAATGTGCAGAGACCTGGAGTTAGACAACCAAAAGGGAGGAACACACTTATCATTTCTGAACCTGAAAGAACTGAAGAAAAAATTCAAGCCTCAAGTTGCAATATTAAAGAATTCTATGGGCAAAATACTGAATGACACAAGAAGCATTAAAAGAAGATGGAAGGGGGAGAGTTCCTGTAAGATGGCAGACTAGGCAGAAAGACTGCACAGACCCTCTTCAGCAAAGAAAAGGGAAACCAATTAACACAGATACAGATGATAATCCTGGACCCCTGAGCCTTGAAGAGAAGAATATAGAAGTGTACTAAACCCCAACTAGCAGAAAGAATTGCATGAAAATACCAAAAAAGGAGACATACGGAGCTACGGCTAGAAGCAATCCTGAGGGATCCTGATGGCACGGACAGCTTGGAGAGTACTGAGTGGTGGTAGGACCTAAGACTTAACCTAAAAATCAGCCCTGCTAGCCAGGGACTACATGGAGGACTGCTCTGGTGGCTGGGGAATAAACGGAGTAGGCAAAGAGAAAGGTGTGCTGAGCTGTGCAGTTTTGCCTGTCCAGAGGGTGCCACCATTTTGAGTGTTTACAAGCAGCTTGACCATTTTGAATATTTAAAGAGACAGCACTCTCCCAGATTCCAGGTGCTTAAGAACAGGTTTTACTTGCCAGCAACCCCAAGGACACTCCAGACCTGCACAGCTAAAAAGCTGATACCCATCCTACTCAAACTATTCCAAAACATAGAAGAGGATGGAATCCTCCCTAACTCATTTTATAAAGCAAGCATAACCTTCATACCAAAACCAGGCAAAGACATCACTCAAAAGGAAAACTACAGACCAATATCCCTCATGAATATAGATGCAAAAATCTTCAACAAA